GATCCACGTGGATGATTAATGATCGCAATAGAACGGCAGGTTCAACTTGTACGGAGACTCCCAGTCATTGTCATCCAGTCGATCCGCTGGAATGATAAGTTTCCGGTTTGTCTAAAGAGAACTAAACAGAACTAAAGAGAAAGATGAGAGAAATGTCTGTTGTTTGGTCGATCGTGAAACGAATTGAAATTATTTTCACCCTACAGCTTTATCAACCGGGCGAAATTGTTTCATTCATTAGAACGGTATTCCGGAATTGCTAGTTAATTGACAACTAATTCGGAACTGATTCGCGAAAATTCTTGTTTAATTGCACAAAAAGCTTCGGTTACTTTCGCCTGATGAATTCGTGGTTCGGTAAGAACGACAAAACCACCCCACTCGGTGTGTCTATTAAAGGAAATTTTTATTTAAAATACTTTTACTATGCAGTGAATGCTTTGGAAACTATTAGCACCCGCACCTAAGATTATCTAATAATTATTTATTTATTTTTTTTTTTCAGATACGTTGTTATTATTTTATAAATAGATACCTATTTGCATAATAATTTCGCAAAGTTTAATAATATCTAATACTGACCATTTACAAGAAAAAAGGTTTTCCTAACCGCTGCGTTGCAGCTGGTTTAAATGATTTCTCGCTGGAAACGTTTGATATCAGCTTCTGCAACACGCTTCCGGTCTGATTTACATTTTTCCAATGTTTTCCAATGTGTCTTTTTGTCGGTTTTTGAAGGAATAATAGGCTTTCTCGAGCAGATATCTCTGAGTTTGTTATTTTTCCAGGGTTTTTACGGGGTACGGCAACGGCCAAGAATCAACCACGTCGAATTAATTCGATTTCGTGTGCCGAGGAATAATTTGGCTGGAAAGTAGTGAATTTTTTATGGATAGTGGCTAAATCGTTATTTAGTATTTAATTGTTTGTAAAAATTTTAAAAATGAAAACAACATTTAAATCTAATAAACGAAAATGATTGTAATAAACTCGAAGAATTGGCAATGGTATTGTGAAAGTGTTTCTTTTTCCAGCAAGAAGCAGGTCTTTTTTTGAGAAATATTGAAATCGGAGGTATTTCACCCCTCGAAAGTGTAGAGGCGCGGTAGAAATAGAATGAAACGTCGAGGCAGCGAGAATTTACATATTTGTCGATTCGCGATAATACAGAGATTGACACGCGGATCTGCTCGTTTGCGTGATAGGAAACTGGATGAAAAGGCAATATAGTTTATCGATGGAGGAGGATAAGATCATTTTCGTGTCACGATTACAATAATTCATTTTTCACGCAGATTTCGAGGATGACTGAAGATCAGGGAGAAATTTATATTCCCTCATCACTCTCTGTGTGTCAGGAACCCTTGAACAAATTAATTTATTTATATTGCAATATAAAATTACTGTTGCTACCATATCAATTTTATTAATTTTAATACTTGATATATTTTTTTTTTTTTCGTTAAACTATAACATAATTGGCATTACCTATTTGCTATTCCATGAAAGCTAAAAAAAAAAAAAAAAAAAAAAAATTTCAAAAATAGTATCAATCTCGTGCGCAGAGACTCGATCTCAATCCAAGTAAAGCCAGTATTCAAATCCTATAATCGCATCCCCCAAATCTACCCCCCATTTGAAGGATAGTCGCAGTGACCGAAAACGTGGATGGAACGTGCCTAACGACAGGTAGCAGATAAACGAGTAAAAGAAACGTGTCCAGGTGAGGAATCACGCGTGACACGCATCCAAACGGGCCAACTTCCCTAGGCATTAGCGAAATCTCTCTAGTCGCGAAATATAGTCGGCTGGCCTAGTATACGGTGTACCTACGTCGAAACGGTTCTCTGACGGGCTACGAGCACCTACACGTTCGCGCAGCGGTGCCGTTAACGTTCTACGATCGAGTCGTAAAGCACCGCACACAGCCGCAGGCTGATGCATACGTGCCCGCGCCCTCGCTAGTGTACGTGTACGTGTACACCGAGAGAACTAAATTTCCACGTTGCACGATGGAGCATTGCCCCTCGCGTCACATACACTCGCGTTAAAAGCTGTGTGCCAGACAAGGAGAGTAATGTTACAGAGGGAGAGCCAAGGAGAGACAGCACGACGCGACGGAAGGGGTGCTCGTACATAGAGATCCGTACGGGTGAACACGTATTTCTATCTCTGTGTGTGTGTGTGTATGTGTATATATATGTATATAGTAGCCGCGTTAACACGTACGTCCATCTTCCCCTCTTCTCCCTCGAAGAGAGGAGAGTTCAGCTAGCACCCCCTCCAGCATGAAATCTACTTGTGCCACCCCTTTGGCCCACCCTTCTCTCATATTCTCTGTCTCGTTCATGCTGAAACTCCGTCTCTCTTCACTGGTAACTATATAGATCCCGTGTCCTCTTCTAACACGATGAACATTAGCAGAGGTTGTCTTTGTCCCACCTCACGTTATCCAACCCCTCCTGACCAGCAGTTTCAATTTGTTATTTTTACATCATTTTACCCCCTTTCTCGCTGTAGACCACCATCCACCCCCGCTGCCCTAGGATCTTCTCTTTCGCTTTTCTCTCTATTTTTCTCCGTCATGCGTTCTGTCTCTCGTTTTTCCACTCCCCTCCGTTCTCTCCGCACCCCATTTTTCGACGTCCCTGACAAGAGAGTAGTCGGAGGGACGCGCTTTAATTGTGTAGTTATTATGTTTTCTGGAAGTTTTAATTATGTCGGCCAGCGTACTTAGATCGTCCGTCCATACTTGCCGATGCTCGACACTCGACGCTCGACGCCGCGTCGCGCCGCGTAGTGTTCGGCACAGGTGCAACTAGGACCTCCTTCGAAAATATGATTTCTCCGGTCATTTAGTTTCTTGAATATTTTACGACCAGTTTACGGCTACTTTATTTGATGTGCCGTAAAGTTTCGTATCTGCCTTGCTCCTTTCAGCATGTTGCTGTATATAAATTGACCGATATCAAAGATCGCTATAAGTTTATTTCCTACCCCTAATATCAAAATATAAAACGCGAAAAATTCGTCTGTACGTTAATATAAAAAAAAAAAAAAAAAAAAAAAAAAATTCCCCTTCGAAATCCTAAAGGTCTTAGTCCTCCACTTTGATTTCCTCCAGAATAAACAGGAACAGGCGAGGTTACCTTTAAAAATTCACAGCGTCCGTTTCCGTTTTTAAATTCTATTTCGAAACAGCCTGATCCTCGGGGCGATTTTTCTCTGAAAATAGTCACCGATACCGAGCCAGCGAACTTATTCATGGAATCTTCCCATAGTGTGACGCGGTATCGCCGGGCCACGCAAACTCTGGGGGGTCTACAATTTTTCAAAACGATAAAACGAGGAAAAAGAGTGTAAACGAGGAGGAGGAGGAGGAGGAGGAAGAAGAAGGATAAAAAAAAAAAAAAAATAGAGTCCGTAGAAATCCAATAGGCGCCACCTCTGCCTGCCCCCTTATCCCTTGGAGCACCTTAGGCAGCAGCCCTTACCACCATAGTGGCTGGAACGAGCGAGGGTGGTGCGCGCGCACGTATCGATCCATGACCAGCAATCGATCGATCTATATATATACATGTATATATAAACTGGAGCCGTGTACGTGCACGTACACGTACACACGGGCCACGGGTCAGAAACGTGGCCATGCGTGCGCGTGTACACGGTGGTTCGAGCGTGTCACGTATATATCGTTCGATCGATAGCGGTGCTGCTCAGCCAGTCGCTATGGTAGGTGCTAAAGGACGAAGCCAGCGCGACCTACCCAAGGTCCTTCAAACATGTCCCCACCAGAATCATCAATCCTTTCGATCTTATTCGCGATCGTTCCCCTTTTACGCTAAATTCAGTAGCATTCTGAAAAAATGAACCGCACCAAGAAATGGTGAATTGGGAACATTTTTATTCTGCTATATCAAACGTATGTTATAGTGCTTTGATTGAAATTTAGGTATTCAAAATTTTGAATAAAACAATTTGGTATATTCGACTAATACATAGTAAAATTGAATACTTAAAATTTTAAATATATCACTGTGGAGTATTGAAAATCCAAAATTTACAAAATGAAAACTATAATAAGACCGAAATTAAATTTAAATTATCGTTGTCCCAATGATTCGCTGTCCAAGGGTTAATTTAAAGCTATAACTAAATTTCTAACTGAATCGGTGAATCGAAGGACAGTACAAATCTAAAATTAGCTAATTGCAAATAGTATTAAAACTAACTGTAAAACACGTAGAATAAATTAGAGGGCAATAATTACATCGTTCGGTAGTTACAATAAAGATATATAAATAGGTGGAAATATAGGGGTGTAATGATAAAAATTCTTTTACTTTTTTAATTAGAAATACTTGTATTAATTATTTGAAATTATAGATAGGAGACATAATGAAATATTATATAAATAGATAAAATTTATTAAAAATATAATATAAAATGCTTCAAGAAGGGCCCATAGAAAATAGAAAAGGGTCCACAGAGTAGTAAGCCTCCCTTCCCAAAAGCTACTCAATTTGAAGCATTGATAAACCTTCCTATCACCCTTTTCTCTCATTTCTCCTTCTCCTTATTTCAACTTTTCGCAGCAAATTTTTCATCAAGGGTCCACCGCCACCCTTATGCTGGTTCGTTCATATTGTATTCTCTTTGGAAGAAGTTTCCATTTTTATTTTTCCACGAATTCCATTGTTCCCCTAATCCTGTCCACCGTGTTCTTCTCTCTTTCTTTCGACCTTTCGTTTATCTCGATGCTCCGCCACTTTGCTGAATTTTACATGTTCTCTGCCGACTGTTTTTTATTCTTCACCGGCCTTCTATCGTGCCAGCCTACTATCCTTCGAACAAACTTTTTGCGCGCGCCGTTCATCCTTCCGGTTCTACCGTTCGTGCTTGCTTTAATCTTCCCTTCGGCTTCTCTCGCCCGTTCAGAGTCGACTGACAGTTCGGCCGCTGTTTTTCCGCCCGTCGCGTCGCGTCGCTTTTCTCTTTGATTCTCCTGCCTTTTTTTTTTATTTTTTTTTTCAAACGAAGACTTCCAACAGATAGTTGTATTCCCCTTTTGAATTCTTCCTTTCGCGCGATCTTTTTATTTTCTCCTTTCTCTCGTAAATGGTACCGTTTAGAAGTATGGGATCTAAAAAACGCATATTTTCAACACGTTTAATGTCACGCTGGAAACGAACGTACATGGTACGACACGCTATAATTTCAATTACTTAGAATACTGTCCATTTTAAACTTTCAATTTGCACGTGTATTGTATATATTATAGAACAATAGATATTGGTGCATATTAATTCTCCTGCACTATTAGAAATCGATCGAAGCTACTTGTTGAATTTCGAACAACTCTTATACGTATACATGCAAAAACAGCAAAGAATAATTATATTCTCACGGTAATTTTTGTTTTAATATTAAAAGTTCGATAGGTACCAGGTACATATACAGAGAATAGTTTTATTTTCTGTACGAATTAGCAAATGGTCCTTCTACATATGGGTATTGTTTCCGTAATTGGGTCAGAATGAGCCTGCATTAATCGTACAAGGGTTAACAGTCTTTGTCGTTTCACTTTGGTCGATTCTCTGATTCATCCCCGAGATCAGGAAGGATTCGAAGCGTGGGTGTATTTGCTGCGCGTAGAAGCGCCCTCTGAAGGGATGTCGGTGAAAGAAGAACGGAGTACTTACCTATAAGGTGATTCCCCGTCTTCTTCTTCTTCTTCTTCTTCTTGTGCCTTTCTTCTGACGGCTTCCTACGCCTTCTCACCAGGGTATGCCCCACCTTTGCCTCCCAATTTAGACACGCTTCCCCTGATGTCAAAGCGAGAGGGCCCCACGTGTATCCGGGCTGATATTGTATGCGTGTAGAGCGCGCGAGCACCGGGTACGAGCATATATTTAAATAGATTTATGGGGAATATACGCGGTGTACACGTATCCCCGTAAGTCTGTTGATTTACATCGCACCGAAAATACACCTTGTCCATTACGGAACCTACGCGTTCCGAGATAAATACTTATCCGGCGAAATTAAAATCCCTAGGCCGCTGGTGTAGCGCGGTATAGAGGAAGGAATAGCAGCGACGCGACGGAGGACTACGATCCAAGGAGGGAAGAGAGGGAGATGCGTTAATGCTTGGACACGATTTCGCGTCCTGCAATCCCTTTTCTCTCTCGCTCTGTCCCTTTTTACATCTCGTCTGTTCGGCGGCGGTCCCTCCTATCTTAGACTCGGAGTCGGGTATCGTTCACCTTGTCCTCTCTCTCCCTTCCTGTCCGCCTGTTTTTCTGTCTCTTGAAACCAGCTATTGCTGCGCTCTCGCGTATCTGCCGTGCACCGAGGTCGGAGAGAAATAACAGAGTAACCGAGAAGGACGAGAAATATTACGACCGGCTGAGAACGACGAGGAAGCAGATAGAGAGCGAGAAAAGCGAGTAATGGACGGATCCGATAGGATGTGTTGGTGCAAACTCGGTCCCAGGGGTGGGGATTAGACGAGGAGGGAGCGATGCTCCGTTTCGAAGCAGGACGGGGATGAATCGAGGGAGTGAGAAAGGCATGCAAAGCGCAAACGCGAGCGGGAAGGAGACGAGGCGAGGCGAGGCGAGGCGAGAGAGAAATAGAAGAGAAGCAGCCACGAGGTAGCTGACGGACAAAGATAGAAGCATCGTAGAAACTGGCTACGCAAAAGAGAACAAAGCAAAGTGATAGAGGCGAAATGAGGAGGGACAAAGATGCAGTATAAACGAGTAGGCGGTGGTGTGAGAAAGATGAAAAAAACTGGTATGGTATAGATAGACGGAGATGGGAAATGAAAGAACTGGTTGAACGAGGATCGAGATCGTTCTCTTCTTCTTTATTATTCCATCTCTTTCTTGCTGCACATTCAACGTGCATGACACGGCTTGGCCGTGTATGCGTGCGTATATTTCTCTCTTTCTAGTCTCTTTCAGCGTCGTTGGACAGGCTTCGTCACAGAGTCCCTCTCTCTGAAATATCTCTCCGAGAATATTATAGAGACGGAGATAGCTGTGCGTTGCTTGGACTCCTCGAGAAACGATGCTCTACCATCGCATCTAGGGATTATTGTATTATACATCGTCTAGGACTTTTTTCTCCTCTCACTACTCGGTATGTACATATGTACATATGTACATATTGTACATATGTATGTATCGATGTCTAGACACTTTCTAGGGGATTTTTTTCTTTCCAACGTGCCGCACCCCTTTCACAATGTTTCTCTGATTACCGAGACACTGAAAAATAACTAGAATACGTGTCGAGTTCGCGCACGATGAGAAGATAGGTTAATGTAGCGTGATATCGAGTACACAATACTATTTATATGCTTTTTTAAGTACAAGTTTACGGTGGAATGGAAGTTACGCTGGAAAATGAAGAGAAATATCCCTGTCGCGAGACGGACATCCTCTGAAAAAATTCACGCGATGCGTTTCTTCGTGGAGTCAGATTTTTAGAGAGAAGAGGTCCGTGTCAGAGCAATTGAAAACACGGAACGCTTATGAGAATCGAGGGGAATATCGTATATGAGGGCTAACGAGAAAGCGGCGGGGATATTTCTGCTTCGTGGTTCCTGTGGGGGTTGGTTTTCGTAGGATACGCTAGGAGCACCGAGTGCACCACCACGAGAAATAGACCGGCAGGGGAGCATGTCAGTGAGAAAGAGAGGAAAAGAGAGGCAAATGTATCCACCTAACCTACCTACCGCAGGGCAAGAACAGATGAGCGGAGATCCCTCTCTGCCAGCCATCAGGGAAAGGGAACGAGGCGAGGCTCTCTCCTCGAGTCTTCCTCTTCTCCCTTCAAAGCGTCCTTTGTTCGCTTGTTCATGGTCCCCTGGGACCCCGCGTCCATCGCGTTTCCTTCCACCCAGTGCCGTACGTCAAGCTTCGTTACGAGAGAACTAAACTCCTTTTTCCACGAAAAATAATTTCCCATAAGACTACTTTTAGGACTAATGTCTCTAAAGGACTGAATACTTTCTCCTTTTTGTTTCATTTTTATTTTTTTATTTTTTTATTTTTTTATTTTTTTTTTTTTGCTTTATTAACGTACATATATGACCTTGGAGTTGACGTTGAATTTTCTTTTTTTGTTTTTGTGCATTTTTAAATAACCGTTATCATAGAAGCTCAACCGAGAAACTCAATTAAGTTTCCTCGAGTGCTCGTCTCGTTCGTTAACGAAGCAGCGCCCGAGAAGATTTCGTTCGCGCTCGATAACTTTCACGCCATTTACGTTTCAGTCGAGATAAAAATACATTCTCCGGTATCGACGGTCTCCTAATCAACTTCCGGATCCATCCGAGGCTGGGCTTTTTTCTTCGATCGCGAACCCCTCGATGCCTTACGGCCCTGCGCTTCGTCGTTCTCCCGTTTTCCCTCAACCCGCTAGATATTCTCCCCTCCAACCGGTGCTTTCCACGCAGCATCCCTCTGACTGTTCCCCTCTCGACCAGAAGGGAAACGCGATTGGTCGACCGACCGACCAATCGGCCGCTTCCATCACCGACCTGGCGCATTCCCCACACACGTGGTTGACGTATGTCCATATTCCTAGGGTGGGTGCGCGAAAAACGTCAAAAAGTTTTGTTTCGGGCCAGATCGCGCGTTACGCGAGAGAAACGACAGAATGATAAAAAAAAGAAGGATAGAGTAACGAAGGTGGATAAAACAGAGATGGAGGATGACGGGAAAAAAAAGCGTAGGGGGAGCTGGTTCGAAGGCGAAACAGAGACGAGTGGTCAGACAATTGCATTAGCGAAAGGAAGAAGAGAAACGAGGAGAGAAAGAAAGATATGTATCCCCCCTCTGTTCTTCGTCGAACAGAGGCAGCTGCAGCAGACGTTGAGCGAGTGGAAGCGAGAGAAGGAAAAAAAAAAGGAGAGAAAAATGGAGAGAGAATAAAAAGGGGAAGAAAGGTGGTACATAAAGAGAGACGAATGTTGGAGGGGGGGGGGGGGGGGGGGGGAGTGTGTTTCTCTTTCCTCTGCGTGTGACAACGTTAACGTGAACTGGCAACCACGTGGCTCGTCTTTCTCTCTCCCTTTCTCTTTATCCACTTTCCATCCCCATCTTCTTCCTAGGGACTTTTCTCTGTCCTTCCGTTGCGTTCGTTCCCTCTGCCTTCGTCGGCATGCTGAAGAGCGTCTCTCGCTCGCACAGCTTTCAGGCCTCTGCGGCTGGCGAAGCCTCCGACACCACCTCGCCAGATGCAACACCGCAGTCCCGCACTGCAGTTGCAGCGTGCCGGTGCACGAGCATCCTCGTGGTGCACGCTCGCGAAGCGATGCTAACGAATTAAACGGAAATTATACGATGCGAGCCCGGCCAACGAATTAATAGCACCCCATGTTCCTCTATTTTCCTCTATTTTCCTCTATTTTCCTCTATTTTCCTGGTAGCCGTCCATATCTATTTCTTTTTTTTTTTTTTCCACACCACAATGCCACTGTCGGTATCACGTGGACGTACAGTCAGGTGCACGGTAGGTGCACGCTTCTTTTAGTTAAGGGGAAGTGCGAAAGAACTTGATACGATACACTGTACACTAAATGTACCAAAATAAGCGATTATAGAACTCGAAAGGAAAATTGTACTCGAAATAATTTTTATCTCAACTATTCTCATTGATCAGCATTCAATGTCACAGGACAGAGGGAAAACGAGAGATAAGTCATCCGTACACACTGACGGAAGAGATTAAAGCGATATTTGCGGCAGAGAGGGTCGAAAATCAACGGTACAATGCTCGCTGCTTGACTAGGGACATTAATTTGTCTGGCGTAGCGTCAACCCCATTATTTAATTATCAGACCGCGTAGTATCGATAACTGAACGGATTACTGATTCGTCGACAGTGCATACCTGTCATGTTCATTGATATTCGATCAACAAATTTTCCAAAACATTTTAAAGAATTACCAGTATCTAGGTTTTATGATATTTAATAATAAAAGATTATATGATTTATATATTTTCTCCAGGACAACCTGATTTAGGGTATGTAATTCTAATAAAAAGACCAAGGAGGAAACTCGTCGAATTAAACGTAATAATTTATATTAGCGTGTACGGTACATTTACGGTTTGTCAATGAAGGAGTTAAAGAAATTGACCGATACAAAGAATTTTCTTTCTTTTTTTCGGCCCTAAACGAAAGGCTGGAATCGCGAGGGAGGAGAATGTTCGAACTACGTATATACATAGTAGAAACTCGAGTCGAGTCTGACCACCGGCAGAATCGTTCTACTGACCGCGCCGCGGCCACTGTTAATCAAACGAGTTCCAAGCCGAGGAAGCTTTGCGCGGGAAACTCGTGGAAATTCTGCGATTCATTGCGTGGCGACCTGTGCGCGTACACAGATACCCACGTGAAGTGGACACGGCTTTGTACCGTGCGAGAACCAACTTCCTCTACCGCTACTGCTACTGCTGCTGCTGCTTTTAATGCCACCACTTTATCGCGTTATTATTTTCAACGTTTACGAAACGCTGCAGTTTATGAGAAACTACAGTTCATTAGTCAATTAATTTTCAAATTGAAGCTTCGTTCTTTTACTATTTACTCTAATTATTTAATTAGAGAGTATATAATGTTAAATTTCACCAGAATACCGAATAAAGTTGTTAGTAGCCGTCCTTGGCTCGGCTTCTTCGTGATCGAACGATCAGCAGAGAGACTCGCGTAGGTCCTTGAAGCTGGTGAAGGCTGCAGGATTACATGACGCCAATGTTAAAAGGTTCTGGAACTGCCTGACGCCGAAAACAATTCGTTGTCAATCACGAAAAGTACTTGTTTCTAGGGAAGGGAGGTAGGATGATGGAATCCTTCAGTTAGGATGAGATACGAGAATGTAAAGGTAAATATAAGCAAAAATAATCTGGTCAATAGTTGTTAAGAAGAATTATTATATCTTAAATTGCTATTATTATTTACCTGGCTGTTATAAAATGATTTTAACGAAATTCCTCAAAATTCTTTACCATTGCCGTTTCGAATGCATAAGTTGAATGCATAACTTTGAATGATAATTCAGTCAGGTAGCTTCCGCTCGTGGTGAATGCATTGGGCCTTCACTAAACGACCTTGCCCATGCCTAAATAGGTCACTGTATAGAAAGAGGGCTAAGAGGAGAGAAAGGGAGAACCTCTTACCAAGGTTAAAATATTCCCTGGGAATCCACCGGGGGTTCTTCCGCATTTCTTCAAACGGATAGACGCGACGATCTAACGCGACGATTGAGACATTCGAGAAAATCGAGAAAATCGAATGGGCAGAGGTGAAGATCGTCCTGAAAGAAATAAAAAACCAGCATGTGTCTTTCTATTTGAATAGATCTTTGACATATACATATTAGTCGATGCAAATATGTTGAAAATTTCAATCTCCAGGCAATTTTATATCATTGTTAGCCCGATTCCAATCAACGAATCTGAAAATTGCGATCGTGGCTACCTTCGACCCTCAACGTCACTCGGCCAGGGTAAGTTCCTGAAGAGTCAAGGTCGAACAAAGTTAGCCTCGGTGTTTCTGGGATCTTAGCTATGTCAGGACGATTCTGATCCTGTCTACGATCGAATTCCACAGGTGCCACGCTTGAATTTCCCGCGATTTCCCCATCCCGTTACCTTCATCGTCAAGCAAATGTAACAGGGGGTTCAATTTTCTATAGTGACTTGATTCTTCTGAAATGATTGTATTAGAGTTTCTATAAATAATTTATTTTGAAACCGACATGATATGTGATCGTGAAGAATTACTTTAGGCTATTCGTTATAAATTTGTCTCGGTTTAGCCTCGACTTGATCCCTTAATTCATTAAAGTACCAGGTTCGCGGCGTTTCTAACGCGAACGTCCGTCCGCTCGTTTATCAAAGAACCGACGGAAATTCGCAATATCTGCCTACCGATGCACAGCCACACCTCCGTTCTCTGTCTTTTTCGTTCCTTTCTTACTTTCAAAAAATCGCGCCAGTCTCTCCGGCTAGATTGCGATTGGCCGGTAGCGGACTCGCAAATGAGGATAAAGAAGAGGACCGCGTGTCGTAGCACGAGGAAGAGAGGAAAACACCGACTGGCACACTTAACCGACCGCTGTGAGTCACACGGAGAGTGTGTTGAATCGACGCGCGACGGGCCGGCCAAGAAGGGAACGGGAAAGACGGTCGACGTCGACACACTTCTACGAGAGAGCAACCGGCACTGTCCGCCACAAGGCACTCCCATCGTAAAACATGCTGTATCTTTGCCTCTTTTTTTTTTTTTCTTTTTTCTTTTTTCAATTTCGCGCGCTGCTCCAGTGAGTCGAGTCGAGGTTTCTTTCGACCACCATTTCTTCACTTTTCTCCAGGATAGACTCCAGGGAGAATCTGTTTTTTAACCAAAATAAATAACCGCCATTTTGTAACATTTTTGTAACTTTAAAAAAATTAAAATAGGTGGTATAAAAGTGAAAGAAAATATAGAAAATTGATATGATAATCGCGACAGTAGTTGAGAAACCCAACAACGCTTTTTGTTCGCAGAGTTTCCCGTCATTTTTTATTATTTCTCCAGTTGGCTCGATTCAGCAAGTTTGCGTGAAACTTTTCTTCTTCAGCCCTGTTCGCGTTCCTGGCATAGGTATTCCCCTATTTTTCTAGCGTGCTGCTTCCTCCTTCTCTACTTAAGAGATTTCCTTTGTCTATTTGCCGATTCAATGCCACCGCCAGCAGGTGGGCCGCTTGATAGATGGCGCGTTGTTGGAATCCCCGTGTCGCGCGCGCACACACGCGTACACGCAAAAACGAACTCTGGGTCAAGATCGGCCGAGTACGTAAATCAACTTTCCACTTCCAGCGTACTTCCTCGTCGCGACCACCTCCGGCCTCCTTTCGTCCTTTTTCATCGTGTTTGCGAGAGTGCCTTTGTTTTCGGAAACTGCTCCCACTCACAGTTTAAGCGGCAACTCTTTTTCTGTTCAAACGTAAAGAAAACTGTATGTTTTTAACTTTTACGATTTGTTACATTGATTTTTCTACCTTTCTTTCATTTAAAAATTACACATTTTTAACTTTAGATTAATAAATTAATTCAGGATTTTCTGTTTAAAACAGGCCACCTAAATATGTATCTTTCAGTTTCTTTTATATTCATTCTACTTTCTTTTTCTTTCTTCTGTACCTAATAATGATAATAAGTTCTCTGCTTGCAAATTGAGTGAAGCTTGTAAGATAGCGGCTCCACGCGAGTGTACATATAATTTTTCACGCGTATATAATCGATGCACATGCGTCGAAAGCCAGCTGCAAAAGACGATGCACGCTTGCGCCAGTATCATCCAAATAGCGCGAGCCACTTTGGCTCGATCTAACTTAACGTAGCGGGACGACGAAAACGTCGGATATGTTCTGGTTCTACGGGATGCCCTACTTCGAGCCGAGCCAGGAATTGACGACAGAAAACTATAAAATAATGCTATAATTCGATTACACTTAAATGTGATTAATAACTAATGTACATACTATACGTATAAGAAGAGTGAAAGTTTGTATCGTGACATAAATTCCAAATTTTTATGGGAAATTTTCAATTTTCAATTTTCAATTTTCAATTTTGCTATTATAAAGCAATTTTAAGTTCTCAATTTAGTTTTTTCAAGTATAATATTCACCTTATTCAATATTTTTTTTTTCTTCTACCAGAAAATATGTACCTAGGTAAATACATACCAGTTCTTTCATCCTCGGTGATATAAATTTAATTTAAAGTTAAATTGGCGAGCACGGTCACTAAATTTTACACCGAGAAACTATTTCGTTATAAGGGTGAGTTAAAGAGCGAGTTAAACTTCTGAAAATGTGCTCAAGGAGCGACGAACGCCTGAACTTTGAAAACTCGAATTCGAAAGCGTATTGTGCGCTTCAAGTACGACCTTTTATGCCGCTTTCGTAAAACCGACGTGAAAAGTAGAATTAAATGAAATTTATCGTGACATTATTCTAAATTCTTATGTCTATGGACGGAAGTGGAAGGTGACAGGGGTTAAGGCTGGATCTTGAACGACTCAACATCAGCCGTCTCATCGGGAAGACGCGTCTTGTTAAGCTGGTGGACAGTAATCGATGCTGTAGTCTGGAAACGTCATGGGATGGATCCAGTTTCCGATACTGTTGGAGGCGGCAGACGCGTTACACGCGTTACTCGCGTGTCGATCGCGAGGAACAAAGAGCGTGGGCGTACGAAAAGCAAAACAACGGACAGTTGAACAGCAGAGGGTAGGGATATAACGGAGGAGGGTTGATATACCCCCGTGGTAAGGGAGGGATGAGAAGGAGGAAAAGCAGATTCAACAAGTAGAGGCGACAGCTGGTGACGAGGGCGGCCCAGAGTAGCCAGACTTTTATCTCCTCATTTCGTTCGCCAGCGGCCGTTCGCGCTACCGTTCACCACCCTCTAATTTAATATTATATAATCTAGTGACCTGTATCTACGTGGGCGTACGGTGGTAGCTTCTTTTAATTTCGGAGCAGATGACCACCAAATCTTTTATTATTATTATTGCACTTATTACTTGAATTCTTTATTCGAAATTTATATGATAAAAAAGAAATCGATACAACTTTTAATAATCGCATCTAATAATTAAGAGAGAAGATGATACAGGCAAACATGTCGCATTAACTTTTTTGAGTATGTATCTGCAAGCAAGAAACACATTATCCACGACATAATCCGATACAGAGGGTATGAATATGCACAGTATAGGTATACACATGTGCACGTGTTCCTCTTCCCACATACGAATATTCTCGCACACATGTCCACGTAATCCAGCCAGGCATACGTCCATAGATAGAAGCGTACATAATATATGTATAACATAGCAAGGATACCACGTGTGCTAGGATACACAGGCACACTCGCAGCCCTGTATCTACGATTTAATCCACCTAGACACGCGTCAGAGGATATATGCGGTGTGATATAATGTAGCAGGGATGAGTATAATCGTGCACAGGTGTGTGCATATATTCGACCAGAGAAATTTACAATTAACCAAATTCTTATTGTTAGTAATAGTAGAAATTCTTGACTAATTGTAAGATTTTATTTCAACTCGACGTGTATAGACGTGCACATGGGTGGGTGAACGCGTGGGAATATAATCCGATTCTATCTAGAATATATCGCGACATAATGTAGCAAGAAGATGCGAGTGTACATATCTGATCGGTGCAACTCGTTGCACCTTGTGTGCACATAGAGACAGACACGGTGCATAGAAGAGAAGTGACGCCGATGGAAAAGTTGGAATGCGACCGAGCGGGCAGCCTTGAGCTGGCCAGTAGTGCGAGTCAACCTCCCGTATGCCTAAGGCCTAAAGCAAGGTTCACACCTACTGATTTAAACTAACGATAATAAACCGATAATAAACCGATAATATAGATTGAATTGGGATTCACATGCTACTCGCGTAAGTCGAATAGAACCATCAAGTTAAATTCCTTTCCATTCGAGTTGGGGCCACGCGAAACGCTGATGTCGCCGTCGCGGCGCGATCGAAGTCTCTCCGAAGGTGAAAGAGAAGGTGAAGAGGGACGTAGAGGAGAAAGGAGGGCGACGAATTTGATCGATTCCAGTTAGTTGTCAAGTGAAAACGCAACGCGAATAACGCGGCTGTGTTTTCGCGACATGCCCTCTGTCGGCAGGTACGCCAATCGAAGGCTCTTAAGTTCGATCGATACTCTGTCGGTCGATCGTTTTCGAGTCCTCCTCCTCAGCCGTCAATCAGACCGCGGATAAAAAAACAGCGCGCACCGCGTTCCCGGCTCGCGTCGCGCGTCAACTGGATACAAGCCTGTCACTTTATACATACCTGTCACTTAACAAAACTTATATGCACTTTACGCAAAAGATTACAATACAAATTCGAGAATATTTTCTTTAGTCTCTGGAGACTAGAATTACATATATTCCCGACGATGCATGAATTTAATATTATTAAATTTATATCGCTGCCCTTTTGCGGTTTGCCGCGGGCAAGGCTTGCAAAAGGTCCCAGCAGAGCTTAGAAAAATCGTACAAGCTTTTGGTATCGCGGGAACTACATAAATAGGTATATTTTTAAATTTGTATCCTTGATAGAAGCCGGTTCAGAAATTTATATTAACATTTCTTTCAGATAGTAGCTTCTTTAATAAACAAGATTATATAAATTTATTTATTTTTTCAACATTTCTTAACTGATGAATTAAGAAAATCTCTAAAGAAAATAAGATACATATACATATGTATATTTCATGTTATAAATTGAACAGAATCTAATTATAAATACTCTTTTTCTGCTCTTTTTTAATTTATATTTACTTGCTTCCAAATACATATAAATTCTGTTAGTATATCTTCATGCACGATTTAAAGTTCACACAGTGTGATCCGATATAAGAATCATTTGGTGTATCTCCAAGTTCGCCCGTTATCGTTGTTAAAAAAGCAACGCGTCGTTATTTTACTGTAACTGGAGATTCATTGAAATTAACATGCGCATACTTTGAGAAAAAAGTATCGCTATGATGGTCAACGTCATATATTTATTTTCGTCACAAGTCATAAATAAACGCAAGTTCACTTCCACACTTTTCACCGTATTAATTTTTCGATCGAACGAGTTCTGAAAAAAAATATTCCAAATTTTTTATCTATTCTACGATAACTTTAACACAGTAGGATACGAACCGTGATATTATTGAATTTTAATTCCTCTAATTTCAAGTTTCACTATGCCTTACTATTTACGTATGTCTATTTTCCAAGTGACAGTGAACGTGTTGACGACGAGTAAACAAGTCAAGTCGACAGTAGTAACGGTACGATGTGTGGTCAGACGAGTACGCGTGACTGTAATTGCAACGCGTTGCGTTAATTCGGTGCAAATATAAATCGATCACGATGACTAGAGTCGTTGTCGAAGAAAAAGGATAAATCTCATTGACTTTAAGATTGCATGTTATAATGTAATGTTATAATGAAATATTAATTACCTAATTACGATGATTCGATGATTTAAGAATCGATCAATAATTTTTCAAACTATCTTTAAGCATACGTGGTACTCACGGCTGTGTCTCTTTTTTATTATATTACAATAAGAAATTCCGACCACGTGGTTTCCGTCTGGTTCGAATTTTGTCACTGCAACAACCTCCCACGCACCGTTGGAATTGATGAAAGTCATCGACCGAATAACAGTCCTTCGATGCTC